TGCATAAATACCCCGGTTCAGCGTTTGTATCACAAACAAACGGAGCCAAAGTTTTTTCCTCAATGATCTATTAGGAATAGAATGAATAGACTGAATTTGATGAGCATAGTATGTGTAACCACACATTGGGAAGATCTTCCATAYATGTATGCTAGATACATGGGGAGATATTCCCAATATGTTACTGGATGCACCTGCTTTTAGAGTGTTTGCAAAGTTTTTGTTTTYAGGAGATCCTATTGCAAATTTGAAGGCCGTGCGACTAATAATATCATCTCACACTAGTCATAAATGCAAAGCGAGAGATTGAATGATTGTGGATATGCATTTTAAGGTTGGCATGGGGTTATAATTCATCTCACAGCCTGTGAAACAGCCATCAAATTCAAATTCAACTAATCRGCTGAGAGGGCCGGGCCCAACGCCAGCTAGCTTGCAGGTAAAGCCTTTAGTTGGTTGTAATGRAAGCGGGATCTACTCCTCATAAATGGGTGCCTCACAAACATACACATCATGCATTGGGAATATCTTCAATGAATAACAACTAATAAGCACGGGAGATATTCTCAAATGCATGGTAGGATGTGTGTGTGAGGAACAGATCYGGTCTCATTGTAATGAGGACTTAAGATCGAGTCCCACCTTCATCTARGTTGGGGGGTCTAGGGTAAGGCTCGCAACATTTAATACAATATGTAAAATATATTTCAAACACGACACAAAGTTAGTGGATTTGGGTTTAGWTTAGCTGTGTGGGTGTTAAAATTATATCAACCCATTTAGCACAATTAATAAATGTGTCAATTTAAATTTGAGCTATGAACTCAAAAATAGCTTGTTTATGACTTGCTAAATTATCAATATTTAGAGATGTTGCCATGTTGGTTTGGATTAAATATTTAGATGAAATAATATTAATGATATGCAATGWTGACATTGAATGGTTTTTATTAGTTTGTTTAGGTAATTGATGATTGAATGCTTATTTTGCTATTTAAATTTATTTAATGTTTA